ACAATGGTGGGACGTGAAAGTGATGGAGTGATGTATCGTACAAATAAGGGCGTAGAGACGGTGAGAAAAGGAAAATGATAGGGGCTACGTACTTCCAACTATTTGAAAGAAGGATGAGGTTCATTCAACATTGTCGAATTCAGGAATCCAATCCAATGGATGGAGTTGAACAAACTCTTCACTCCAAAGCTGTGGAAGATAAGATTCTGAGTCTTCAACATTTAAACCAGATTGGCTCTAAATATAGATCAAGAATATCAACATAATACCAAGGTATCAATAATAGCATACACATACTGTAGGAGCAGAAGACGTAGAAGACGTATTTTGCAAATTATTTGTTGGAACTGCAACCAAGGAGTGCGCAACAATGGCTACAACCTGTAAACTGGGATTTGACATGAGGTGAAATGCATATAGATATAGTAGAATATATTTACCTCTGCATCTTCATCATTAGAATCTCCCTCATCGCATGATGCTTCTAACTCCTCTTCATCTAGAGCATGAGGATCGAGATTGGCATCAACATCATTCCGGAACATAGATAGAAAATGCTTCGAGAGACATCTATGGGCCCGGACAGTCTCATCTAAACCAAGATATGTAGTAGCGAGTGCAACATTGGCTTCGAGAGGATATTGGCAGATTACTTTTGAGGGAAATATTTGATATTATTAGCTTAAAATATTGGAAACATTCAACAATCAATCAACGTACTAGCTTGAAGATGGAAATGGTTATCACGGGTCATGGCAAAACGTGGGATTGCAAACTGTTGCCCATCTGATAGTAGATTTTCCAATGTTGTATTAATATCAAATGGGGAAATGTGCATCTTGACATTTTTATGAGTGCCATTGCTATGACCATTGTTACTGTATGCTAACAGCTGGATTGGTAAATGTTCATGGGGTGGTAGAAGTAATGATGTTGAAAGAGAAGGAAGGTTATACTTTGTTCTGAGCTTTTGAACGATGTCACTGAAGATATCAAAGATTGTGGTAGTGATAGGAAGATTAGGATAGTGGTGGAAAAGATCCAATGCTCCGAGAACCATTCAGACACTGTCTTGTGTACAAATATATCGAACAATCTGGGGAGAAACCCCCAAGTGCTAGCAAATAGTGTCATGCAACCTTCACATAGCAGGTAAGGAATATTCACCTTTAATTCACCTGTTTTCGGCCTAAGCAGATGTACAGAGCTATCGAGATTCACAACTTGTTCCCCTCCAGCAGCTTTGAGAACACACTCCTCTATTTTCTGCTCTGGTGGACCCCGTTGAAGGAGACTTAGTGGACATATTGCCTTTCCACGTTTCCATTCAGACTTCTCCATCCTTTTTATTGGATTATGAGAAAGAGAGGTACTTGCATGATCTAAGCGCTGCTGGTTAGCCCATCCTAAGATACTCATTCCAGGAAACCCAGCAGAAGTTGTAGGACGGGGATGGCCTTGAGCTCCTAGCAACCCATTATCCCCACTACCATCTGCCATATTAGCAAACATCTGAAGGCTGGAGTATGGGCGGCATGATGAAGGGGCTGGTGGCCAGGACTGCGATGCATTAGAAATAGGCAACTGCATTGGAACTAGTGTCTGCTGGGTAGAATTTGGAAGAGGCAAATGTGATGGTACATGCTGAGATTGAGAAGCAATTGTCAGTGGGATTGACAAAGGCTGCAACTGAGAAGCTTGTTGACCTGTAGCTGGAGTTGAATTTTGTTGAAGGTGCTCTGACATGAGCGATGTTAGAGTTTGTGAGGATAGATATGATGGTGATGATGCTTGCAACTGAGGGACCTGAATACGAGATGGTAAAGGCTGCATTTATAAGTCTATGCTGAAGTCAATAGAAATACTATACACACCTGGGCATTTTGTACTTGAGAAATTTGTTGGGTCTGAGACAGTAAAGACTGCGCAAAATGAATAAGTTTGGTAAAACAGTAAAGCTTAAAGTCAAAAACTGTACCTGTTGAGTTGGCTGAGTTGGAGAAGATGAAGAAGCCTGCTGAGAATGAGATGCTGAAACCTGCACCTGAGTGTGTGTATGAGGTCTACAAAAATTTACTACTCCATAAGCAATCACACCTGAGTTTGTGTTGGCAAGGATGAAGGTTGGCCAGATGATGATAACAACCCCTGAGCTACAGGCGTCATTAAAAAATGAATGCATTAGCTGCATAAGAGCCTGGGAGTCCGGTGAGATTGGATGGCCAGTATCCTGCAAGCTCATGATGGATTAAAAGAGAAAAGTAAAATGCAATGATAGAAGGGAAAGAATGCGAGCCTCAACGGGAACTCCAATGCGCCCTCTTATAAGCAACCAAAATCAATATTTGAATAAAAAAATTCTAAGTAGACAGCATGTAGATGGTTAAGCAATTGGTGAGGCTAGTAGCACAATAAGTGATCGATACAATGCAATCAGTGAGATATCAGAAAGTGATTGGTGATGCATATTGCAAAATTGACAGTACCAACAGTATGATTAGTGACACCTTGCGGAGTTAGTTGTCGGTGATTGCCTATATACACAATTGTTGAGACCCACAATGGGATCGGTGACCAACATCACAATCGGTGAGGTCTGAAAAGCAATCATTGAGATCAGAAAAAAATTCGGTGAGGTCGGATAAGTAATCAGTCAAGGACCTTCACTACACATTCACAAACAATGAATAAGATGGCTGGAACTCAGGAGGATTCGCTGCAGTCCAAGAATTGCTCAAGGTAGTTAAAAGACTTCTAAAGATATAAATGGACACAATTATCTTGAAACAATAGATAAAGACCGTTGAGACAGAAGGCAAACACCGGACACTCTATCAATCAAAGCTCCTTAATATTCCGTGAAATCTGCCGTCATACAGATAGATAGATACACGGCTCTGTCTAAGATGGGGTCCCAAATATCGCGTTCCAGGAAATCTGCGTGGAGTCATCTGCAGAACTTGAAGTCGACAAGCATGTGTGAATGCATAGTGACGAATTATTTCTTGATACCATCCGAGCGTAGAAACTGCCTTAGAATGATTCAAACAAACAGATGGGTCAAAACGGAACTTGAACTACGTAAAAAGCAACTACGTCTACAAGTACGGAGTCCGCCGTTGTGTTGAGGTTGTCCTGGAGCGAAGAATACCGACTGCCATTTACAACATGGTTTTTGTACGAAGGGAGGAAGGAACAAGAAATATGTTGCTACGAGCCACGCGTAAAATAAATGGACAAATCCGGATTTGAACCGGAGACCTTTCGCATTCACGGTCATGCAAAGCGAACGTGATAACCCCTACACCATATGCCCATACACTATGCGGTGGTTAATGTCTCATTACCTGTTTAAATAGAATATTTCAATGTGGAATATATGATGACAGGGAAGATACCCCTGTACGCCTGCACGTTCAAGAATGGCAAGTAGATGCTATTTTCATGTATACAAGAAACTTCAGAGATAAGGGATACATTGATCAGCAATAATTCTACCCAACGCGGATCAAGGTGAAAGGTCGAGTCTAAACAAACAGTAGAGCAATAACGCGTGCTCGCACACTGGGCATCTCGGAGAAATAATCACAGATTCTGTAATGCAGTTTCCACAAAAAATGTGCCCACACATTGTCGCAGTAGGATCAATGCAGGGGTCCCTCATGCACAGACGACAATGAAGAGAGACTGCAGCAACAGTCGAGGCGGAAAGAGGTGATTCAATTGTACTGCTGCGTCCCTCCGAGTCAGGGCCAGAGTTCAAAGTCGAAGTAGAAGACGAATTGGAAGACGGTCTAGTCACAGCTTTTTGGTACGTCGGTTGGACAGAATGCCATTGATCATTTCCTGTTCAGCAGAACATCTCTGAGTATTCAAGAGCAAAATGATCATCTACGTATTAACTTACTAGTCCCAAGGTGTGCGCCATTGTGGCTCAGATCCATCGAGGCGTCGAATTTCCATGATAAATCATGCATGAGAGCAGGAGACGAAAGGTCGGGAGCCTGGGTGTTTAAGAGAGAATTATTCCCCTTATCGAACCCAAGAAGTACAAGATCTCGAGCCAGCGACGTCGAAACAGAAGACTTTACTGATTCGATAGGTGCTTTGCGTAGTCTGGTTGCAATGTGGGGTAGGGAAGGCCGCGATACCGCCTTCTCGATAGAGCCGCCCCACTGGGACCAGGGGACCTGGCGGGCGGGCGCAATGGTCGACAGTGATATCGGAGTAGATGGGGTAGGAGAGATCGTTGGAAGAGCATCGAGTTCGAGGGGCGATTGAACTTCCGGAGATGAAAGAACACCCGCAGGTCTGTGACAAAAATGAGAATAAGAAATTATTAGGCAAAAAAATTGGTGAAAACGCACGGCGATGGGGGATTGAGATCCCAATGGGGTTGAATCTTGTCAGACTAGAATCATTCAGAATGTGAACCGCCGCTCAAGTATCATAGAAAACAAAATGTTTACGGTCACATTATTGTTTTTTGAAGAGCCGTTACCACTCGGGCTAGCAGTCGATGTGACACTAATAGCGATAGGAGTAAATAATGAAGACTGTTCCTTCGTACTGACTTCTTCAACAGAGTGCCGTAGCCACTGCTGAAGTAAAATGAGTAAGTGAGTATCCAATTTTGTTTTGTGCACAAAACACTTGCCTTTGCTTTGGGCGTCGTGACATCAGAGGGACCAAAGTATGAAGGACTAGGCATCACGGAAGGTGGTTCGTCGGGAAAAACCTATCACAGAGATCATGATCCATGATCAGTCAATATACACGCACACCTACACATGAAGTCCAAGTTGAAAGCGTGTCCTCATTTTCGATGATCGGTACAGATGAGCGGCTGGTTACACTTTGATAAGGAGAGCTTGGCTGACTCTAAACAACGAGAGTAGTTAGAAAAGGAGCCGGAATCGATCTTCAACTGCCAACTGCGGCTTACGACGTAAACTGGAGAGGGGACTTGGGAGACATGGAGAAGTTGAACGTCAGAACTTGAATCTCCATTCACAGGATCAGAATAGAAATGAATAGTTTGGATATGCTTTTCGTTCATCAGCAAAGTAGTAAACGAGGTATTATGAAGAACTGTGATTTACCGCCTGCTGCCTTTTCTCAGTTTCGAGCCCGATTTCGCATGCTGAACACGTTGGATGTCTTGTTGAGGTGAGATGATGTTGCTGGAGCTCCGCCACGTTTTCATACTGCCGTCCACACTGCTTGCACCTGGTAAGATCATGAAGGCGTAAACAGTGCTACATTCGCGTGTAAAACAGCAGTCTCAATAGGTCCATGGCGCTGAAGCGCTGTTCTAAGAACACACCTGCTCAAATTCCCGATCATCTACAAAACCAACCCTACATTGATGACAGGTGGGGTGACTTGGCGACTCCAAATAATGCTGGAATATATCATCCTTCTGAATTTTCATATCACATGAGCTACAAGAAAATTGAGCTGTCTGAATATTGCAAGGTCCCCGCAGTTGTTGATGCTAGGAGCGTCTGTTAGCGACACCAGCGAAGCAAATAATTTGTTGGCCAACCTCGTCAAAGGACCGTCGATTCTCAAACCCTTTACCGCATTTGGGACAGGTTGGATGTGCTTCGGAGCCCCGATAGTGTTCAACCAAATTAGACTGCAACGCAAAGCTCCTATTGCAGGGGCGACAAGTATACAATTTTGTTTCCCCCTCCTTCGTAGAGTGTTTGGCGTCGATATGCTGAGGTAGCGGTCAATCATTTTATCCCAATGAACATGAACATAATGATACTGACCCGACCAAGGGTGTACGAATTGCGAAATATACGTTCGCAATATCCACAGGGGTGGTGGCTGCGCGACGTTCGAGCGTGCTCTTTGAGTGCTCTGAAAGTGTCAAAATGTTTCTTGCAGATAGAACAGGGAAACATGATCGGTGAAGAAAAAAGGAAGTTGAGCAGCCTTTTAATCTAGGTTCTAGCCATACATCCTTGAGCCTTCTCCTGTTTTTGGCCGTGCGTTACGAGAGAGGAAAAATGTATGTTTCATACGATGTCGATGTCTTGGAAATTCCCGTCAGGACCCTATACGACGTTGTGGATGGTTTGCCAGATTGTTCTGTAAAAGGAAATCACTCGCCATCCGAACTCTTGGTCGAACAACCTTCCATACTTACATGTACTTAGCTAGTATATGAATTACACTGTGTATGTAGCATTCACCGAGTACACATTCAAATTTAAATGAACGCGCGAGCGGAAGCATTACACGGGCCTCAAGGCATTGTGTGGGCCCAACATCATCCTTTGACGATCCTGATTGAGATCTGACAACGAGATTTTCAGATTGGGAGGTATTCTCGGAGGCAGAGAACAGATATTCCTAGGAGGAGATATGTATATGGAGGCATTGTCCCCCTTATCAGGAATCGGGGAATACGAAGTCTTCTGGATCTTGATTCGCAACCTGGCTTAGCCAGAAGATCATCACGATCTTGACCAAGAATAAAATAATGCATTTCCATACAGCCATCCAATACATAAAACAGGTAGAAGACTTTCCTTCCATTGCAGCTGCATCCTAATTCAGGTAAGCTTTATACGCAGCCCTCCAAGCATCCTTAGCTCCAGCTTCGATAACGTCCTAGGAAAGAACATGGCGTTGTAAGGAGAGTTCACATGATGAGTGTACCTTACATACTCCATGACAAGGTATAATCCTCTCAAAATCCCAACTGGCGACGGTCTTCACATCTCGTTGCATTGCCCTGAGCAGACTTGATGAATAATAATACTTTGGGCTCAGTTGAAGGATGCTAACTTCTTATCTTCGCCCATTGCAGAGGCAAACTTTGCATGGAACCAAGAAAATGGCCCGAAATTCCCTACAAGTGGTGCGTGTCCCGAGGACTTGGACTTCGAGTACTGGAGAGGGAGAGTGCGCTCACGTCAGCATCAAATATAGCTACTTTCTTTCCGAATGCAAACCTGTTCAGTCGGAGGAAGATTGAAAAGCAGATCCGCTTGGATCATTGTCTTTGAAGCAGGGTGAAAGAACGCAACATCCTTGTTGCTAAACCCGGAGAAATAACTGAGAAGCTAACTGAGAACACGAAAAGAAAAGGTCCTTGCGCATACAGACCAGTGCTGGACCTAAAATCATTCACTCGTCAATATGAGCACATAGTAGAGCTCCGGAAACCTTACATCTTCTTCGAAGCCGTATCGAGTGTCTTCCGGATCGGAGCCCCATGCTGCCACAAATATTCAGATAAAATGCATCATGTAATTTCGAAGACGGTGCGAAGCTCACCACCGTCAAATTTCAAGGTCTTATCTTGGACTCTTTCTATTGCGGCCTTCGGGGCAATAATTTTGGCTTCAGGGTAAGCTTTCTTAAAATCACCTGTTTCCTCTTCAATAACGCTCCACGGAAAGAGCAAACCGCAATTTACTAAGGAACAAGTGATGAACAGCATCCGCGCCAATGATAAACCTAGGAAATTACAGAAAAAGAGTGACGCGAAGAAAGACAAAACTCACTTCACAGGCCCGAGTTCTTCCAATTTTGCCTTGGTCTCAGTATCCAGCGGTGTCGAAGCCAGGACCCAAAGATTGCCGTTTCGCATCTTCACGGCCGTAGACCTTCCACCAACCGGAAAGATACCAAAGCGTGCAAAAGGACTAGATAAAGTGTCAATCCGCTTCAATCAAACAAATGGGCGTGAACTGAGGGAATACCGAGAGAAAATCCAGACGTCTTTAGCGACCTGGAGTTTTTGCAGGCGTCAGGAGGCGCGTTATATGTCGAACTTTGACGTACTTCTCGTATAACAGTTTCCGACATGTTGTCCCTGGTTATCGTTCCAGTTCAATCGTAGGTGGTTGTACTTATGTATGAGTGAAGGTCGTCAGGTTGTGGAATGTCGCAAACAGTGAATGACGGATAAGCACGTGTTCGTCGCGTTACGCAACGCGTTCATTGTCAAACTTTTGATACAACGCGAAATCTACACGCAAAGTTGATACATAATCCCGACGGAGCACATAATTTACATTTCCTCAGAAGCCATCGTTTTTAAAAGATCCTGCCAATCCTGCCCCAGTTTCTGAAGTGTCCTACTTTTAGCTGTGACCAATCATATAGGTGAGAATGGCAAATCATATAGGTGAGAATGGCATACTATTCGGTCAAAGGAAACCCACCAAATTGAGCTAGGACAACGTCCTTCAACAGATCACGTTTGACCAATCCGACGACAGTTGGTGACCATCCCATGTCCCTCTCCTCTCCGGGACGCCTGTTCAAAGTTGAACATTATATCGTCTACCA